ATCCAACTCGAAATCCAACTCGAAATCCAACTCGAAATCCAACTCGAAATCCAACTCGAAATCCAACTCGAAATCCAACTCGAAATCCAACTCGAAATCCAACTCGAAATCCAACTCGAAATCCAACTCGAAATCCAACTCGAAATCCAACTCGAAATCCAACTCGAAATCCAACTCGAAATCCAACTCGAAATCCAACTCGAAATCCAACTCGAAATCCAACTCGAAATCCAACTCGAAATCCAACTCGAGATCCTAACTCGGGGTTTAGTTTATCTCCTTTTTTCTTTGATTTTGTTAGTTCGACTATTACTTAGTTCAACCGTTGCTCTTTCTACAGGAAATTTCAATACAATGTCATCAAGAATATCACCAAATTTGGGCCCTTAAATTTGATGTAAGTACGAATTCTGACTCCATAGAGTCGCTCATTCAAAAATAGGTAGTCGATGACTGCATTTGACTCAGGCCATTAAGGGATTTAGTTAACTCCGAGTTTGCTTCGTTACAAAATGGCAATTCTAAATTTAATGAAAGCTCCTTTTGAATGGTGAACGGCGATAGAAAGACCTCGTACAATGCATTTCGCTCTTGGAATACACTATCTTTAATTAGCTGTAAACCCTGCAAAGAACTAAAAGCATTGTGATCAAGCATTACGTTGTCCAAGCGGCGATTCCCAGGGGCCAAGGAACATTAGAACCTATTGTTATGTTTGATGATACCTCCCGTAGTGGCCTGACACGGGGCGCTCTGTTTCCCTGCWTACTAATAAACGTATCCGTCTGAAAGATTCGGGGAAAAGGAATTGTTATCCAGGACATGGAGTCCTAAGAGCTTTGATTTAGCTTATTGTGATGTTGGAATTTCAAAGGTCTTCAATTGTGTGCCATTGGCATTGCGAATCCCGGCAAATCCAGTTTGGCAACAGCTAGTATCTGTCTGATTCGATCCTGGTCTGTAAACCACTAACGTTAAGATCATGAGAGATTTTTGTTGTGCTGTTTACTTGAGTAATGTCTGTCTGATACGAGAACTGTACATTTTTCCTCGAGTTTTCCTGTGATGAATTGGAAAACAATATTACGACAATTTAACAGCTCGGTAAAAGCCGCCACATTACAGCGAGTACTACATCGGTATTCGGGCGTAAATAAGCACTTAGCACCTATCCCCTCCCCTCCCCCATCAAATAATAAAGCAACTGAAGGATGATTATTCAAACCGTTTATCTTTTGCTAATTCTTGAGCTGAGCTTTGATTGGCTCGCTGATCCCTAAGGATTTTGGTGACGTCATATATTAGCATAGAACTTCACCGAATAGACTACCCCAATTAGATATTAGATATCTATAAGTGTCTTCATAGTACGATGGTCTAAGAGGGTAGCTAAAGGTATGCTCTAGTGGGCGGCTACCCCCTCACTCCCTGGCCTTTTGGTTAAGACTAAGTTTTATGTTCACTCGGGATAGCGTGGAAGAGCCGAAATCTCTAACCGTAACGTAAGCCGATTCGACGCCTCAGCTTCATAGAATGTCTCGGGGGAATCGTCCCATCTTTTTAGTTTTTTATTTTCATTATTTCTTATGTATGTCAGGGGGGGTACATCTTCTCCTAAAGTGAACGTCGTGAGTTCGAGCCCTGCTTCTGGAATTTCTCTTTTTTTTTC